TGTCTGATTCGGTGACTACATTGATATCTAGTTCAATGGAAGAAATAATGAAAAAATTCAAAGAGAACTTAGGATCAGAAACTATTGTAGGATCTGGACCAACATGCGAAGTCAGTACCCCAATTGTGATTGCCTCTTATTTGTCTGTTACCACAAACCGTTTGATATACTCTGCTCATCAAATGCATTTTTGTTCTGATTTTCAGGCTGCAAAAGTTGAAAAAAGTGTTGATTCGAAAGGCAAAGCGAAAGTTGACTCTGTGTGTACAGTTGAATTTCCATGTTCTACTGAACCTCCATCTTTTGATCTCGATCTTGCATTTATACAACCAAGCCAGCTTGTTACAAAAACATTTAAGGAAATTGAAGTGCAAGTGGACTCGGTCATATCCAATGTTTTGAAGGACACGGAATGTATTGAGCAAGATGTATCAAAAAATCTATGTATTTGTTGATTAATGCATGTCACATAATAAAAAAAACACATTATTATTATGCAGCACTCACCTGAGGCCGCACCAAGTTCTGGATTGCCGGTGAAGAGGGCTCCAAAGCCAACTAAAGCACTATAGTCCCCTTATGTTGTTGACGAAGCGAAACAAATGAAATCATCTGAAAACGTAGTGGTCTTTGAACACTACAATCAGAATGTAGAAAATGCAGATGTTGCTGACTTTCTAAATTGGTTTCAAAGAGGATACAAACCGCATAGCAAGTATGAAATTGTTGTCCTATTTTCATAATTTTTCAAATAATGATCCGTACTTCTCGTTCGCAGGAAGAAGCTCAATGATAAAGATGATGCCATCCTTCCATCCTTTTCCATCGGTCAGTACTTGGTGGGAAATAAGACATGAGGTGTCGTTAACTAGTTCGGTAAGTTACTACACAAAAGTAACAGTTCTAAAGGACATGTCACAGTACAGGTCACATTAGTCACAGGTCATTGTATACTAGTCACACAAAGCATGGGTCACAGATCACACGAGCAGTAGGTCACAGATGATGCATGGGTCACAGATCACAGCAACTAGTAGGTCACAGATGATGCATGGGTCACAAATCACACGAATAGTAGGTCACAATCTGCGTTACACGGAAAAACACATATCTGCAGGTGCAATAGTATAGCTCACATGTATTTATTACGTCACAAATCAGTTATTGAATGGTCACTAACTATAGGTTGTATTGATCACACATTCTAACTGAGTCACACATCAAATTAACAGCTTATTGCATCATGTTTTCTGGTGTATATATGGTTTCTTAATTGTTTATTGTACTTACATCTCTGTAGCATATGGACGTGTGCTTCTACTACATACGTCAAGTGGCAAGAAGTGCGAGAGATCTTAAGTATGTAGCTACCACAACGGACTTGTTGTTCCAGGCCAAGCTCAAGCACATGTATCATAGGTTCAAGGATGATGCAAATGATCTTGTCACAGATGATAGACTGATTGACGACATTACCGGTGCATGAATTCCATTAAGCACTCCATGGGCTGAAGTTGACCTTGTGCTTATCCCACTTCTACCTACCAACAAAGCACATTGGATGCTTAGAGTGTGGGACATAAAGGCACATACGTTGCATTTATTGAATTCGTCCAGGAAGACATACAATGATATTAAAGTCCGTACTAGAATTGAACCTTTTGTCAGCATGCTTCTGCATCTCATGAAATGTGTTGGAATATGGAAAAAAAATTCCATGGAGTTGACTGTGAATTTTGATTTTTCTCTTCCCCAACAGAAAAATGGGTAAGTTTTTTTTCCCTCCACTTACAGTTAAACATATTAAAACATACTGGATTTCATAGGTAACAGTCTGATTTTTGCATTCCTAGACATGATTGTGGCATTTACGTGGTCAAGTATGCGGAGTACATGCTACATGACGATATAGGATCCATACCCATGAAGTTTTATGCGGGAAGAGCTCGGTTGGATGTAGCTTCATTGTTGTTCAAATATCGTGAAATCGGGAAGGCTAGAAAGACGGTGCAGCCTACTAGTGGGGAAAGCATTGTTTTAGAGTGATATTACAATTAGAACTCACATGTTGTAATAGATGGAAACATTGTCTCATGTTTGGAAGTTGTTTGTAATGATAACGCAGTTCTTACTTTTATCTATTTATATAAAAAAGTTCATTAGTGTTTGGGGACTTTATTACATTATTTTTCAGAAGTGTCACTATATATCATATTTTGCTATATTGACAATATATCGAGGACAAAGTCTCAAAATTTAATGCACAAATTATTGCCATTGTGTCATGTTATTAGCACAGATGGTAGACATGTTTATCGATTGATCGACACTGGAATTGACCCATTCCAGTTTTTAGGATTATCTGCAGTTCACAGGTCACCGGTTACTGTAATTTGGTCACAGGTCAATTTCCATTGTCACAGGTCACTGCACCCTGGTCATAGGTTGCTGGTCACTAGTTATTTGCAGTTTTTAGGATTATCACAGGTTACCAGTTTGTAGGATTATCTGCAGTTCACAAGTCACCGGTTACTTTAATTTGGTCACAGGTCAATCATATTGTCACAGGTCACTGTACCCTGGTCACATGTTACTAGTTATCTGCAGTTTTTAGGATTATCACAGGTCACCAGTTTTTAGGATTATCTGCAGTTCACAGGTCACTAGTTACTATAATTTGGTCACAGGTCAATTCTCATTGTCACAGGTCACTGCACCTTGGTCACAAGTCACTGGTTACTGTAATTTGGTCACAGGTCAATTCCCATTATCACAGGTCACTGGTTATATGCAATTTTTAGGATTATCACAGGTCACCAATTTTTAGGATTATCTGCAGTTCACAGGTCACTGGTTACTGTAATTTGGTCACAGGTCACTGCACCCTAGTCACAGATAACTGTGTTGTGCTCACAGGTCATGAAGAATTATCACAAGTCAATCCAATATGGTCACAGGTCATTGAAGATTTGTCACAGACCATTTCATACTTTTGTCACAGCTAATTGCAATTGAACTACTTCCATTTTCCTGAGTCTTTGCAATATGTCACTGGTCATCTTTTGTTGGTCACAGTTTAGCGCATATTTGTCACATGTCATTGGATATTGATCATATGTCACTTCATCCTGGTCAAATGTCTTGATAAATGGTCGCAGGTCTTCGCATATCAATCACAGTTCATTGACGTCTAGTCACAGATCATTTCATATATTCACAGTTGATTGCACAAGGGTCACAGGTCACTGATTCTGGTCACAGATCATTATATATTGGTCACAAGTCACTGCATTCTGGTCACATGTCATTAATAATGATCATAGTTACTGCATACTAGGCACGGGTCATTGAAGAATGATCACAGATCATTTCATATTGGTCACAGCTAATTCCATGTTGGTCACAGTTCACTGCATGACGACTGTATATCAATTTTTCCTACAGATTTTCATTTGTGACACATTCGTTGAGTTTCTCATACGTTGAGTTTCTCATATGTGCTAGTGGTCACACATTCTTGCCCAACATCCAAATTGCATTGCAAAAAATCTTAGCATTGTATTGGTTATGATATGATTAACATGTGTCATCCAATGTTGTGCATCCTACATTTACAAAAAATCAATGAATGAAAAAACGAGGGAATTATAAAAAAAAATATCAATGTGTATTTCTAGTATTCGTCCTCTTCCTCTCTTTATTCTGGTTGCTTTGACTTAACGGAACTAAGTTGCTGCATGTTCTACGATTGTGACCACTTTCACCACACTGACCGCATTTGACGTTTATGTTTTCCTCATACGCTAGTCCGAATCTCTTCTCAGTAACCCTTCCACAACTTCACTTTTGATTAGGTGCAATTACAACTATGTCATGGACATCATTTGGCACTATCCATTCAACTGGATTTCCTACAGGAAAAATGGTTTCTTCGTATGTATTTTTGAATGCTTCACTTGTGTAGTAGTAGGAACATTATTCATATGGATCCATCTTCATACTCGCAAACACAGTCAAAGCATGTCCACAAGGTAGTTGATCAACTTGAAGATCCTACATGTGCATGTCCGATTTTCTATATCAACAACGAAAGAGGAACTTTCACCACTAACTGAGAACTAGCCTGATTAATAGGGGAAACCTACAGATAAAGACTCAAGTTATAGGCATAATAAGTCACGTAACTAAAAAGTAGGACACAAATGAAATTGCATGTCATGTAGTTATATATAATATTGAACAAATATTACTGAAACACAACGGTACAGATCACAGCAGAAGTCACAGCACATGTCACAGATCAGTTCAAGTAAGTTACAGATTAGAGATTAGGTCATAGTAATAAAGTTTACCCTCAAGTTTCTCATATGTGTGCTCATTTCCCTCATCTTCTTCTCATACTTGCTTGACAAGGTTGTAAAAGTGTCTTAGGCATCCCCCTTGTGTCTGCAGAACCAAGATTGTAGAATTTGTCTCAATGACTCCAACAAAGCTAGAATAGGGTAGTTCTTGGCAGACTTTGTGATCGTATTAACTGACTCCACAATATTCGATGTCATTGTGGAATACTGATTTGAAGGCATGTAGAAACGTGACCATCTCTCAGGTCCAACTTCGTCCTACAAACAAAAACATAGACATGTGTATCATATAGTGTATGGTACCATATTAAACATATTTATGTGACTATCATCATACGACAATGTATAGTATAGTACCAGATAACCCCTTATCTTCTCATTAATCAAGCCGAGTTGTTGCATGTAATATTCATATTCCAATAGTGTGTAGGCACGAACAACTGCATTGAATGCTTGTGTTATGTTTTGTCCTGATCTCCTGTACCGTGATTTTAGATTTTGTAGTAGATGGTACGAACATATCCCATGACATGCTCCCGGATACACGTTTTCGATCGCCTTTTTGATGCTGTAGTGGCAATCCAACACGAAGTACAAATCGTCTCTGTCCCCATATGCTTTCCTCAATTGTCTAAAAAATCATGTCCAGGAGCTGTCATTCTCGTTATCCCCAATCCTGAAAGCAAGTACATAAATGCTGTTATTTGCATCTTGTATACATGCTGTGAATAAGGTGCCACCATAGTGTCCATTTAGATATGTGTCATCAACCACAACAACTAGCCTACAATGTTTCCATCCTCGTATAGATGCACCTAGTGCCATGAAGCAATATTTAAACCTATTGTGACCATCAATTTCTAGACTTGTGACTGATCCAGGATTTGTTTGTTGTAGCACTGAATAAAAGGCTGGTATCTTATTGAATGAATCAGTTGGATCACCCCTTAGCACTTTCAGAGTTTCCTCTCGAGATTGCCAAGCTTTGACATAATTCAAAGATACTCCATATGTATGCAGCATGTTGTTGCGTATATCATTCGGTGTGTATATGGTGCGCGATGAAGTGTACTTGTACTTAATGCAGGTTGACACAACTGTCTTTGTCACTTGCCTATGAGTACTGAGTATGATGTTTGAAGCATATATGTGACCTTCTACAATGTGTCTGATTTTAAACATATCTATTTTGGCTAACTTCGATGCTCTACATGTCCAATTACACTCATCACGTGAACATTTTACGAGATAGTCTTTCTTATTGGACCGAACAACCAAGTACTCAAACATGTTTTGGATTGCATAAAATGACAAGCTCAATTTCATTATCTCCTTGTTACGAAAAACTTTTCCTTTCTCTACCTCCCTAGCATCTGCCATCGCCACAACTGTGACCTCATGTTCAAGATTGTCACTAGATGGATCCACTATTGCTCCACATATGTCTAATGACATATATGTTAATGAAACCCATGTTCGTTCGATTGAACATCAATTGATAGCGCAATCGGCTGTTTTTCGATATCTGCAGTTGTGACCTCGATGCGAATAGGATATTTGGCAGGGTCATGACTCATATCCTTCAAAACCATGTAAGACAAGACATTCTCGTCACTTTTGATTGTTATTGGAGGCAAATCACTATTCAAGACATATTTCATTGTCACAGCAACTTTTGCAGGGTCAAAGCTAAACTCTTTCATAACTGTGTCGACAAACCTCAAATACCCGCAACTACGATCAATTAACACCAGTGACACTTGTGATCCATTCAACAGACACACGTGAATTAACCCCATTTCTGCAAAATTAGCAAAAACATGATCAGTCAAACATCCAATTATAGTTACATTTAATTGCATATGGGTCAAAATTACGTTAATGGTCAAATGTCACAACAAACATATCTCGAATCTCAAGTATCATTGTCACGTATTGAATACATGCAGGTCACATATTTTTATTTCCCAGAGGTCATAGGTCATTGCATATTTGTCACATGTCGTTGAAGAGTGGCCACAAGTCTTTGTATATTAGTCACAGTTAATTGCATATCGATCACAATTCTGTTAAATGATCACAGGTTAAAGCAAACGCATGCCGTATCTTGAATGTCATGGTCACACATTGACTACATGCAGGTCACATGCACGTATTAAATCACAATTACATGTAATAATCAGTCACAGTAACTAAGTATAGATCTGTCACATATGATTAGATTTAAACAAGAGCATTAATATCATAAAACACAGATACAGTATGTCACAAGTCACACATTCCGTGACACAAACACCCATGTGTACTGACTGCATGAGGTTACATCTTATGAATAGCCGGTCACATGTTTTCCATAACTGTCACAACGATTTCGAACAGCAATGTTCGATATTCATGATCATAGTTCCGTCAAAAATCACATTTTTCATCAATCGAAGCTTGTCTAGCGTTAATAAACGACAAATTATAATTAATAAATCACAATTACACACCTGATCAATGCAAATACACACCTGAATAATATAATCAGTGACTGTTTGAGACTCCTTGTTTTAATCCGACGTAATACGACCCGCGACTGCAATTTGTGACCAGAATTTGGTTTTATCGTCATTTCCGTGAGAGCCGACGGTAATTTGGATGTATTTTCAGATCTTTTGGCTACTGAAATCAGCTTGAGAGATGATTTATTCTTTTTTTTGGAGAATCCTGCTTGTACGGTTTCTCAGCCTATTTCTTCGAGATTTTTTTTCCATTTGAAATTATATTATTATTTGTATTTATTTTTAGGGTAATTGCTGATTGTTGAAATATGATACTTATTTTCTTATTTTTGAAATGTCATATACTTAATCTCTTGTATATGAAATTTTCCCAAAGAAAAATTGTACAAGGCCCGTTAACTTTATATAGTCAAATGAGACCAAATATTTAAGCCAAGAGAAAATAAATCTCTAAGGCCCATTCAGAATAATCTCTGGGCACCTATGGATTCCAAATATTTTGAGCTCATGTTCGCCTTGCGATATTATGATTGGGAAAGGATGAAGAAGTCTATGTATAGCTCTTGTTTATATGAAGGTGATTTTGAGAGAGGTGTTCCATCCAGAAGCGAGGAAGGTCGTCGTTTTTATATTAAAAAATAAAATAAAATAAAAAACTCTTATTCTAGTAGAACTTTTGTTTGACTAAGAATCAAGTTGGAGAGAAGAAAAAAATAATCCTTCCGTTGAGCTAATCTTTACCAAATGCTCCGACATAAAAAATTATCTTTCAATTTTGATGGCTGGTTGCTTTTGTCTACTAATCCATTAGCAAAATTTTTCTCTATATTTGTGCCGATTTTCTATGCCAGAAAGCATCCTTTTTGGGATTAGCTTCTTGTGGCATTTTTACTTAATTCTTTAGTAGTTAGGTTCCTTGAACTTTCGGTTGAGGAATAGCTCGAAATCAATATCCTTTCCGACGGCCTTTTGGATGTGGTAGAAACATGGTTAATGTACCCTTTCCCACATACGATGCCAATGATGCTACCAAAAATCATACATGTTGTTTCTCGAGTTTGAACAATATCTTTTAATACGTAAAATAAAGGCATCGAGATGTGTCCTCATCGTCCCTCCAATACTTAAATCGGAGAGAAATTTTATGCGTGAAGCTATGAATTGGAAATAATGAAAACGTACATCAATAATGAACATTGGTCATATTATGTATTTATAGATGTTGGTAATAGAGTTGGAAAGAGACTCAACCACCAGTAATCCTTATTCTTATCATGCAATATGTTTGTGTTGTATTGGAAGGGTGTTGTTTGAGTTTGAATCGAGCAATGATAAGTAAATAATGAGGATAAGGGTCAAGAAGAATTATAGTCGAAGTAGGATTAACGTCTTCTAGAAAGTGGGAGATAAAGATTACGTTAAAGGACACACGACTCGAATTGGACAGGCTTGACCTCGATGCTGGGGTAACTGTCGAAGTCCAAGATCGGGCCACTGAGTTCGAGCTCGGGTGAAACAATTTCCATGATCATCAATTTGCGTTGGGATTTATGGCATTAACTTTACCTAGCTTTTAATTAATTTTAATATTTGCACTTTAATGTTAAATTTTTTATTTTCATGTGTTTTTACTATTGCTATTATTGCATTTTCATTTATGTGGCCAATGAATTATTACATTTAGTAATTTGTACATCAAATGAGAGAAGATTGTGCACTTTAGATCAAATAATAGAAACCCTAGGCTTGTGTCGATGATAGAGATACCCCTAATCCTAAATGACCAATGAGTTGTTTTCACGAAGATTTAATGCGGTTGCTTGGTTTGAATCCACATAAAGATATAGTAGATTAAACTAATTAATTAGAGTTAATTTCACTCGAGAGAGATAATTAACTGAAATCGAAAAATCGGGTCTAAATCGTAAATGAGTAATTTGTTAATTGGCTTGTGGAGAAATTAATTAGGCAACGGTTAAGCGAAACCATGAATTCCAACCACGTTTTCCTCCAAATTTTCCAAAATTTTTATATTTTCTTATTTTGTAGCCTTTTAGTTATTTTTCTTATCTTCCAAGGTCATAAATTTATTGTGTGTTTCTTTTTATTGTTAGAATTAAATTAATTAAAGTTGTACAATCAAAAGTATACATTTCTCGAGAGATCGACAATCCGAACTTAAAAAGTTCACTTTATTTTTTGAACGCGACCCATGCACTTGCATTTTATAATTCTAGCGAACATGAACCTCAGGTAGGGAGAACATATGTTGCACAGATGATTTTTGTCCTAGGGCTCCTACATTCCTAGATGTGATAGAGGTAGGTACAACATTGTTTTAGAAGAGGAAGGGATATGAGAGTTTGTTTCATTAATCCTAAACCTCTCTTATTCCAAACTAGTTTATTCAAATATAACATGTTGTCAAGCTTCTTAGATCTACTAAAAAAAAAAAAATTTGAAGTTGGGCAATAAGATCGCTCGTAAGAGACTTAATCTTAATTTCTAAGGACTCTTTTTCAATCCTTAACTCATTCAATCTTCTAGCCGGCTCCTCAAGTTTGATATTTAAACTCTCTTTTTCTAGCTTAAGATTATGCAATTTCTTAAAGGTGGAACGATTTACTGATTCTTAAGAGATTCACTCTTAACCATGGAGGCAAACGCCATATAATTCCCTTCCTCATCAGGATAGGAATTTTCACTTTGTTTATCGAAGTTAGACTCTTCATCATTGAGAGTAACGTTCATAGCCTTAGCTAGGATTTACTTATAACTTGGGCGCTCATATTTAACATGACCAAAATCTCGGCACTCGTGACACCTTACAAACCTCTTTCAGGCATCTCTAGCATCACTTCTCTCTCTTTTATCTTTCCTAAATTTACTAGAGTCGCCATTATATCTCTTACAATTCCTAAAGAATTTCTTAAATTTCCTATCGAACTAGGCAAACTCCACATCCATTATGGTGACATCATCGTTTTGATCACTAGCCCTTTTTTTAATAGTGTTCACGCCTAGAGACTTATTTTTCTTAGACTAAGAGGTCTTGGGAGATCCTACAAGTTCTTTTATCTTAATTGTATCTAGGTCTAAGTCCTTGCTTTATTCAATACTTGTAACCTTAGGTCTAAATCTCTCAAGTAGGGATCTCATTACTTTGCTCACAATCTTAGCCTCAGGCTATGTCATTCAATTTAACATAGAAATCATCAAAAGACTTCTAAAATATCCCAAACATTTTTTACAATCTCACACATAGACACATGTTTAAACTCTTCAAGGAAGATAGTCATAAAGATGGCATGAACACCTCTACTACTCTAGTTACACTCGACTAAATCATTCTTAATTCAAGTAGAGATATTTGTTGATGTGACAACACCAGCAACAGATTTAGATGGGGCAGTCTAATCTTTTTCTATACTAACCTAAACCTTTTCATTCATAGACTTTAAGAATACTCTCATTATAACCTTTCCAAAATCATAATTACTACTGTTGAAATAAGGAGGAACGAAAAGTGATTTTCCTATCTTGACAAAATTCAGCCACGAATTGTAATTAAGCTCCGATACTAATTGAAAAATTAGTAATAGTCGGAGGCAACGTTTAGACCCAACAACACTTAGAGGAGGTGATGCGGAATTAATAAAAATCAACAAGTCACATACTCGTTATTTTTAGATGAGTAAATTTAATGTCAAATTAAACCCTATGTATTAAGTATGCAATATAGATCAAAAGCAATAAAGTAAAGATTACCAAATTTGGTAATAAAGGAAAATCCATTGAAGAACCCTTCACAGAGATAAAAATTCTCCAGACAAACATTGTCAAAAAGATCCAATAGAAAAAGATAACTTACATTTAGTTCAGATACAACTAAACATTAATAGACTCTGACCACTCAATCTATAAATCACTTAAATTTGTCAAAATCAATAATAAATTTTAACCATATATCTAATGGGATCCACACTTTTCAATAACACATTTCATCAATTTTTATTAAAATCTATAAAAAATTTGATTTTAATCTCCCACCAAACAGGGGCATAGTATGAAATGTTTGAGGTTGTATAAGATTGAAAAATCTGTTCAAAATTATGAACTATGATTGACCGTATAAATATACTGCTCAAGTGAACTTCCTCGCAATTAGTAAGCAGTAAGTCCTTTAAACTAGAGCAAATTAGGTCCAATACCCTAAAAAATTAACTTAATTGATTAATACCATGTTAATCAATTAAATCATTTCATAACGTAATTAATACGCTATAAAACTTCTCAAAACCCCAAACCCTTAAACAGATGCATACGCAGAAACCCCAAACCAAAATCCCATCACTGATCTTTTTGCAACAGAATTGTTTCCATCTCCTATTAAGCTATCTCCTTCAACTCCTTCAATTTACCTGTGTTAACATCTCTTTTGTCATCCCACAATCACATGTTTCCTCTAAAGTCAACCCCTTTCAGATGGAGTCCCGTTCTCCTATTCTCAATTTCTGAAAAAGCATCTTCTTTTGTTCTCCCTACTTGGGGCTGCGAATCAACAAGAGGATTGAATGGCGGGTCATCTGATGGTTTGTCAATTCCTCCATTCTCTGAGCTCATGATGACTCAGAAAGAGAGATGGTCTTTCGATGGTGAAAACTTCGTCTTCAGTTGGGACAAAATAACCAGATTTGTTGGACGAAATTTAGGGTGTCCTTTTAATCTCCAAAGTTGTGTTTGTGCAAAGCTTTTAATTGAGAGATCCTCGTTGGACATCCAGAAAGTAATAACTACCAATGAACTTGGCATGGTTGCTGTTTTGACTTGTGGACATGCTTACCATGCTAAATGCTTGGAATAATGACACATGAGATGAAAAAATACAACCCGACTTGCTCTGTCTATACTTTTGGGGAGAAGCGGACCATGAAGATGATTGAAAAGGCAATCAAAGTTGAATTGGATTCAAAGCCCAGAAAGCGATCTAGGAACTGTGTTGTTGACAGTGATGATCTTATTTTGTTCGATCATCATAAATGCGGTTAGAATGAAGGAAGCGATCCCAAAATGAGATTCTTCCATAGGTTGATCATTATCTAAAACTTTCCTTTACTTTTCTCTACAGATTCTTCCACAATTTCATCTTTCTCTGTTGCCATGTTTTGAGGGTTAACATGAAGGAAGATATAGGAAATGGCTATCTTCGTAGGTGATGGATAAAATAGTTGTTGAAGACATTGTAAAAAATTGGGAATTATACAAGTTTTTTTAATATGTGTAACTTTTCTTGAATTTTTGTCATTTTTTTTTAGTGTTTATCACTTTTTTTAGTCACATTATTGATTTCTATCATTATTTTAGTGACAAACATCACTTTTAAATAAAAGTGACATCATATGTCATTTTTTAATTAAAAAACGACATTTAACATATGATTTTTATGCCCCTCACCTTTTTGAATCTATGTAATTTTGTTTTAATTTGTGTCACTTTTTTAAATTCGTAACTTTTCTTAAGTTTCTAACACTTTTTTGTGTAATTCCCACCTTTTTAAAATTGTCACTTTTTTTTAGTGTTTATCACTTTTTTTCAATGTCTTTTTGAAATTTCTGTAACTTTTTTGGTGACAAACATCAATTTTATTTTTTTATTTATTTTTATTTTTTTATAATAAAAGTGACATTGAATGTAATTTTTTAATAAAAAAGTCATACTAAACTTTTAAAAGTGACATTGTGTCACTTTTTAAACAAAACAAAAAAAGCGATACAATTTTTATAAAAAAATTGTGACATTGTGTCACTTTTTAATTTTACATAGTATTTTTTTACTTCCAAAAAATTTTTCATATGATTTTTCAAAACTCTCCTAATTTTAAGGGTATTTTTGTAAGTTGCCCTTTAAACTATGTCCAAGGGAATAAACATAAAGTTGGTTTGGCTAAAAATAATTTTTTTATTCGATTTTGATAAAATTTAGTGTTTGCTTGAGCCCCTTTTTTCTTTTTCTTTTTTTATGAAAATGCATTTTGAAATAGTATTTTGGTAGAGAATATATAGTTAAAAATAAAAAAAATTAAATTTTCTTGTAATACTATTTTATTGAAAAATATGTAATTGAAAATAAGAGAGAGAAAAGTAAATTTTGAAAATAATAGGGACCATACTAGAGCTTAATAAAATATGTTGTTAAAAATTTAATAAAAGTTATGACTCTTATAAAATATATGTTTAAAAATAAATTTTAAAAAAAAATTTCAAAAAATTTAGAACCAAACATGGGCTAAATTTAGCTCCAGACATTTTCAATCATAAATTCATACAATAAAATATTTTGCTCGTAAATCTAAATTTTTTTCTAGTTTTTAATCGCACATTTTCCTTAAAAATTATTATTCTAAAATTTTATTTTTTTCAATATACTGATTGTCAAACAGAGGTCTAAGATTTCTTGTGTGGCATTGTTGATGGTGATAATGGCCATGTCATGCAATTGCGATAAAACTGTCGGCAACCTATCAACCTTGATGCAAATGCTTATATTTTGGTAAATTTATTAAGTAATTTACAATTTTTAATAAAAAAATTATATATTAATTTGCTCAAAGTAAACTATGATAATAAAAATTGATCCATCATTAACAAATCTTGTTCTGCATAATTTTAATTTAAAACAAATAAAATTGATTTATTTTATGTATAATTGAATTTTTTTTTTTTTTGAGTGTGTATATTTAGGTGAGATGAAATATTTATGTACAATATCGAATGATCAAAGATATATTATAATAGTATTTTGAAATATTATAATAATCAATATATTAAACTAACATAGCATTCTATCATAAAATCGTTATAATTTAATAATAAATTTAAAATGTATAATGAAATAATGTGCACTATTTTGAGCCAAAATTTAGTTGAATTTTAAAAAGTAAATATTATATTTAACATATTGTTTTATTTTATAAACATGAATTTTTATAGAGAAGTTTTCATTCATTAATATTTAGGACATGTTCGATAATGATTATGAGAATTAATTTTTTGATCGTTTTTAAGAATAAAAAGTGAATCCCACTTATGAGTGAAGAAGTAAAAAATAACGGGTGAAATAATGAAATAAAGTCAAATAATTGATTTTTTGGGTAAAAAATTGTTATCAAACGGGACTTATATTATGTATATACATTATAAAAAATCATTTATTTAAAATTAATATTTTTCACTTTTAGATGTAACTTTAATACTTGTCTCGTGAAGGCAATTAATAATAAAGTAAACAAATCAGCATTTTGATTTCATTTCACCCTCCATGAGTAAATCTAGAAGCTTTGCCAAAATTCCAAAACCGCCAAAACACAATTATGCTTCCTCTCATTGTTCGCATTCAATGCGTTTATTCCCCAATTTGATTTCTAGCAGTAAAATTCCATAATAATTGCAATAATTCAAGCTTATTGACATTTCCTGAGAAGGGTTTCATTTAATTCATTTTACAAAGTAGAAAGGCCGACCATTAAAACAGCTTGCTTTATTATTTATTACCAATGGCTGTATTTCTAGAGAATGACATCAGTTGTCTGGATTAAGGTTTGTTCAATGGATTTGTTTTGATCACAATGTGCCCTACCCATGTTCAACTCAACCCACATAGGCCCGACAAAAAAATTAAAAAAAAAATAGAAAACACACGCGCGCGCACAAAAGACTGATTAAATTGAAGGTAACAAAATGGAAAAGTACAAACATTGGTTCTTACCTTGGAGCCTAAATGATGTTATTGCCCATTGTTACTTTCTTTTTGGGTGGGTAGCACAGCGCTGTTCAGGTTTCTAATTATTTCTCTCAATTATCTGCACATACTTGTAATTTCTAAAATCTATGGTTTTGTATTTATCGTTTCTCTATTTTCTTGTTTCTTTTGGGTATTTTGTGAATTAGATCTTGGATTCTAGTGTCGGTCTGGAGTTTTTATTATTTATTTATTTTAACTTTAATTTTTCTTTTTGTGCGAACATTTTAGGTTTTCGTTTTATATGTTGGGATAGCGGTTTCTTTTCTTTTTATTTTTTTCTTTTATTTATTTTATTTTTTTCAAATTCATTTCCTGGGTTCTAGTGTAGGAGAATTTTTTGAACACAGTTTATATGTCGCTGAATAAATGTGTTTTGTGTTTATAGTTAAGGCAGACAGTCACAATTTCATGCCTAAATTTTCGAATTTTTTTGGACCTTCCCAAAAATGGTTCATCCTTGTTTGAACTCTGTGCCTTACCTCTGAATTGCTTTCAATTTCACAATTGAAGCTTGCATTGGAGGTCTCTCATGTTGTGTGCCTGTCTGGCATTCGCAGCATCTGGCATTCTAACTTTCTTTTTTGAATAATTGCACGATGACATTGTTGTTTAAATATGTCTTGTCGAGTTCCTTTGGTCTTATTTATATCCACTTTTCTTTTCTTTCTGACCTTGTTTGTTTGTGTGTGTGTGTGTGTGTGTTTTTTTTTTTTTTTTGGTTTGGAATACCTTAGCATAATTGGTGGAGGAATGCTGCTCAAGACTTGATGTTCCCTTGATTTTAGAAATGAGATTTATTTGTCGGTGAAGAAATGATATCTTTTCATTTGGTAGCATAGTTGAGCTTATTGACATTTCCTGAGAAGGGTTTCATTTAATTCATTTTACAAAGTAGAAAGGCCGACCATTAAAACAGCTTGCTTTATTATTTATTACCAATGGCTGTATTTCTAGAGAATGACATCAGTTGTCTGGATTAAGGTTTGGTCAATGTATTTGTTTTGATCACAATGTGCCCTACCCATGTTCAACTCAACCCACATAGGCCCGACAAAAAAATTAAAAAAAAAATAGAAAACACACACGCGCGCGCACAAAAGACTGATTAAATTGAAGGTAACAAAATGGAAAAGTACAAACATTGGTTCTTACCTTGGAGCCTAAATGATGTTATTGCCCATTGTTACTTTCTTTTTGGGTGGGTAGTGTCGCTGAGAATATGTAATCAATTCAAATGCTTCTGCAATCTCCACTTCCATTATGACCTGAGATTCATAATTTTGCAAATGTCGTTGCTTTGTTCGTCTTGTATGTTAGCCTGCTAATAAATGTGTGCATATCATGTTGTTGGAACAAATTTAACTAAATTTGTAGTCGCACACTTGTTTGTACCAGTCGTCTAAACATAGGGAAGGACAAGTCCTGCATATGTTTGTGTTGATTTATTAGTTTTCCAATATGTTTGGTTGCAATGTCTACAATTTCTAGACAACTGCATCTCATTAGGTGATCAGTTATGCTTCTTCTGGTTTGAACTTGTGAATTTGAGAAGCTTTGCTATTGGCATCTCATTTGCTGGTAGTGCATGCAGTAGTATTCATTTTTTGATTTGCTTGTGTAATTTGATAAGGAACAGTAATTTTACACTCAAAAAGGGTTTCTCTCAAAGATGTATAATTGAGATTTGAGTTTTCATTATAAATGCTACCCTTGAATTCTGCATTATGTATGTTGCATATTGTTTCTTTTATGTCTTATCTAATTTGTCTCATGGAATTTAGGTTATCTTCGTACTGTGTTATGACTTTCTTGCGCTTGGATGTGGTTTTTCAAAAAATATATTGATTATCTTGAATATTAAATGTTAGGTGTAATAATGCTCTTTATAATTAGATGATTTACATGTCTACAGATTTATGGAGATGATGAATGGTCCTTTGGGTACTGTGAACAAGGTAGTGGCGTTTTTAGCTGCCCATCAACTAAGAATCCGATGTATACATTCCGTGAAAGCATCAAACTTGGAGAAACTACCTTTTCTACCTCCAAGGTCAATCAGATCCTGAGGGAACTTAGTAGAGAGTGGCCTGGGCACTCTTATGATTTGTTATCCAAAAATTGCAATCATTTCTGTGATGAGTTCTGTGAAAGACTTGGTGTGCCAAAGCTTCCTGGTAATTGCAATCTCTCTGTATCTTTCTCTGTACGCATGCACAACATAGATTTACTACAAATATGTACGCTGTTTGACCCTAAAATTTCTTCCTGCTCATATATAGCTTGCTTGGACATATGCAATATAAACACATTCGCCTTTAGTTGGGCCAGTCTGAATATTGCCCTTTGAACTTTGTACTCATTTCTGCTCCGGCGGCTCAATGATCGCTAGGCAGGGTAACTAGTCATCTTTTGTAGCTTGGACAAGCTTGTTAAGTGGGAATTTCAGTCTCTATTTAAGACACATTAAACCCATAGAACAATTTTATATTTATGTAGCTCGCAATCATACTTAGATTACTCCTTGAGTGAAGGCTATCAGTCTTTCACAAATATTGTAGGCAACTATTCATATTGGAAAAAATGTTGTTATTTGATAATTTATGAAAGGAGCAGAATATATTTTCTTTGCCTACTGTCTGATGTTGCAGAGGCACAAATATTTATTGAAAGAAAAGTGAATATATGTCTGTATATGTAAATTGCTAAGGAATCAAAGAAATTATGTGGTAGAGTGAAACTAAAGATTAGTAAAATTGAGAAGTAGCAAAACAGTAGGCTAAAAGCTTTTTGGTGTATGGAGGCTAGTTAGAGAGGAGTAATAATGTAGGGATTGATCTAGTTTATGTAAGGTTAAGGCTTATTGAGAGGTTGATGAGGGGATGTTCATTAACTGTCGCTCATGTTCAAAATTTTCTTGGTAAAATGATCTGTAAGAGAAAATTGGTCGGACTTAAATATTCGAGGATTCTTGGTGAACTTGTTAAACTTGAAAAAGAATGATGATGGAAGTTAAGGAATTCTGTGGACCATTTTCAGGGTTAGAATTCATTACACCATCTCAATTAAAGCCTTAAAGCTATGGGAAGAATTACGACTTTTTAATCTTTCTTGTTTTGTGAAGACATTTTTTCTATTTATGAACTCCAGTGACATCTTGAAGCAACTTTAGCATACACTCCAGAGTAATACTGAATTTTCAATTTTTAATTTATTTATTTATTTTATTTTTAATTTAATTTATTTTTTATTTTTTATTTTAACTCAACTTGTAGATATTAACAAGCTTATAAATGTAATAAGACCTAAAATAAGAATTTCTAATTAGTAATTTGAATTTTATCATTTTGCCAAAATGATTTCTCCTTTTCTGGGCAAATAAAGTATGAATGATGTTTCTATTACAGCTGTTCAATGCTTCTTGAGCTGAATTCGTTTGGCTCAGAATCAGATTGAGGTTAGTTAAATGAATTTTTGTTGTTGAATACCTAGTATGATTTGCTCTTGTAGAAGCATGACTAGAATTTTGAGCTAGTACTGTATCTAAATGAAGTTGTTTGATGTATATGTGCGCATGCAAGAGGATAAGGTGCTGCAGACCTGGAGAAAGATTTAAAGTTGGAGTTTATATGGATATATATTTGATAATGTACTGTAGTTTTTATTTTTTACCATTTTAATTTTAGAATGGTAATGACATGGGCAATTTTTTTGCTGTCAACTGTGTGTTGTATTTTGTAACTTGCCATGTGTATTGGGTTCTTATGAGTTTCATGACAGGTTGGGTAAACAGGTTTGCACACGCTGGTGATGCTGCTGTGGAAATAGCAGAAAGCACAGCTTATCGAGTAAGGTTATAGTATTTATTTTCTTATACCACATTGTCCTTCGATAAAAATTATTCAAAATTAATTGAAATTAAACATCCCCACTGGGCAAAATGGATGGAAAGAAAGAGTATAAGCAGCTGGACTTTGTAGCATAATCATTATTGAATCTTCTTCATATCCAGCACTATAGTGCAAGTACTGTATGCTAGGCAATCCAGGAAAATGGGTTGTAAATTTGAATGTGTACAGGCTGCTGTTCTTTGAAAATCTGTACATGGTCGAGGGACCTCCGATCCCTGTCTATGTTGGAATTAGCCTAAACCCAATTCCACTAGAAGCAATATATAGCAACCAGAAATTTAAAAAAAAAAAAAAAAATGCTGAGTGTTAGATATATATTCTGCTACATCCTCTTGCCATTGCGTGTTTTCATTAATATTGAGAACAAGAAGTTTACAGTGGAGATCGAACACATTCTCTTCTCGTCTTTCTTAAACACAAAGACAACCATCACATATTCCTTTTATGTAGTGTAGGGACGTAGGGTGGCCTAATACGAAGAGATGAATGCTTAATATAAAAGTCGTTCTTCTTTTGTGCTTTTTCTAATAGTATAGGAGCTTAGCTTTTTTACAAGATCGAACACGCTGCCCTTCTCCATTCTTCTTTTGTGTTTTTCCTATAATCTTGTTTGATTGATCTCAACTGTTTTCCCAGTTTCAGTATATCTGACCAATTCTGATGCTGTTGCAGTTCAAGCAAGCTAAAACTGAGATTGTAACTGCTAGCAAAGTGGCGTATCGGTTTCTTACAGGAGTTGCTTCCAACAATTCAATTCTAACTGCAGAGTCCCCGAGCAACTCTAATAGAGGAGGATCTCCTAGATTCCAAGCTACTTGGTTCAAGAACCTTATTTCTTCTGGTGCTAAACCGTCAAGTAGTTCGGAAATTGAAAATCGGGATGAAGCGAGTACAAAGCAGCATCATCAAAAGGATGAAGCACCACCGCTGATGCAAAACTCGCGACACGACTTCTGATAGTGTTACGTTCCGGATCATCCTGTGGCAATTTATTTGTTGTAGATGTGGAGTGGATTGGTGTAAAATGTTGAGTTCCCTTGTTACTGTGAATTCGTCAACAACTGTTAAAAAGTGCAGAATTAACATTTCAAAACTTGGAACAGTGTTTTACGGTTACTTGTTCTTGTTTTACGCAGCATTATGGTACACAACAATTTTTTTACATTTAATAGAGAATTTCTCTTTCTTCACTCCGTTGCAATTTTCTAAATGCCCTGAATGGATCTATGTATAATTTATACGCTTCACTAATGAACTTGTCGAATTCTTTTGCTATAAACTATTAAAATAAATATTTTATTAATTCTCAAGTAATTAAAAAAAAAAAAAATTGGATTAAATTATTGAAAAGAAGACCTAGTTTTCCATGGAAACTCCTCCTGCAAAACATTTGTCCATCCCTCTCCCAAGTACACCCTAATGTATCTAGAGAATTATCTCAAACAAGATTTTAAGTTTCAAATTCGTAAATTATTTTTATTCTTTTTTCCACACATTTGTTTAATACAACCTTTATTTTTCAAAAATACTGAACGTTCTTATCTTATAGAATTCGACTTGGTCCGCCGGTCAAGTTATCAGTTAGCTGAGTTAGTTTGTCCTAGTTATCAGTTAGCTGAGTTAGTTTGTCCTATTAAATTATGTGTCGAGAGGTAATTCATTCATTGAATTTACATGCGAAATATTTATCATCTCAATGGGATGTCAAAGGGGTTTCTTACTTCCCCAACAAATTCTCCTACAACTATATATAAACGCTAGTAGTCGAATACTGCTTTGTCATCGATTCGTCTTCAGAGAGAAAATGCGATGGTACATTATGATTTTAACTTGGGAATATCATTTGGTATAAGGATTTCGGTCATACTACATGTACAAACGGAATTGACAACTTTGGCTGACAACCACACACATGGGAAGAGAGCCCACGATGAATAAAAATATCGTGGACCCAACTCCTGTGAGGAGAAGGTCAACCCCGATTGTACAACTAGCAAAATTCATAGAATTTTTATGTTGGCATCTTGTCTAGTCGTCTTTCTGTTCTGTGATTGAAAAATGAAGCTAGCCTATGAGCAGAGCACTGCAGCATATGAACATTTCTCGAGGAAAAAAAAATAAATAAAAATAAAAATAAAAATATTTAGAACTGCTCCAGGTAACACAATGCAACATGTTTCTCGTTCTCAATGTTTGAAGATGAAAGGAAACAAAACAGAGAAATGACACTATAATGACCAATTGCTCAAGAATCAGATACAACATACACAAAACAACAATATATGCACATAAAATCGTTCTCGTCACATTGAAAATCGTCTGTCGACCAGATATATGGTGGCGGATTTACAGTGGGAGAAGTGGAGTCTAAATTTTAAATTATAGATATTCAAAAAATTCCTTATAGTTTTCAATTTTGCCCCCACAACCCTACAATCCTAGCTTCACCTCCTCCCCTAATCATATAGATGCCGACTGACACACCTACGTGTAGTTCACTATCATGTTTCATTTCCTTTCAACTACCAACGAGAAAAAATCAGTACAACCTGTGTATTTCGTCTGGATATTCTTCAACATGTACACGAATATATATGTTTTACATGGCAAGATTGACCAGAGAAATAGGATCTCATGTGATCCACAGGTACACAAATCTATATCGATCTGCAAATTTTATATGCCAGTTACCAAGTTTGAAAGAAAAACGATTATACCGTTGCAAAAATGTTAAAAACGCTGCAACCTGCATCTCTTCTATGTTTTCCTGAAATGGACTGGCATTGGCATGCAAAGACGTTTAATATCTCCCTTAAATGGTGTCTTCATTTTATGAAGCTTGATCTCATATAGCTTTGGCCAAAGCTTTCCCGTCACTGTACGCAACTGGCGTCTTTAGAACGAGTAGCAGAAAAATCGATTCCATCAGGTATAAAAATAAGAAGCAATATGAACATAATGGTACTTACCAAAAATACGGTTTCTTTTTTCATCCCATGCTATGCCATTCAAGACATCGATACTCTGAAAATTTGGGTTAAAAGAAAATTATTAGGTTCATATGGGAAAAAATTATTCAAGTACATACTACTATATGCAGTTGTCGTATACCATTTCGCCAGCTGCAATCAACCCTTTCCTAATAGCACATTTAGAATTGATTAGAGGATTTTGTCCCGAGGAATATGGAGAAGAAAATAAACATGTCTGATGAAATCAAGCAAGTTGAGTAAAGGAAGAACCTCAAATTAGGAAGGAGAATCCATCCAATCACCACACCATCTTTACTTGATATTCTAGCAATGCAGTCGGTCTGCATATTGAGGGAAAAAGTTAATCCAGGTAAAGATTCAACAAAGAAAATTAAATATCGGTAGCAAAATCAGGTAAGTGAACAGATGCTGAAATTATTGATAACTTCACTGAAGCAAAAAGATGCTAGTACCTGTTTTCATTGAACCAACTGTACAATAAACCATATATCTACTTAGGAATATACAAAGCAACTAAGTGGCTTAAATAATGCAAGTTAATTTGTGAGTACTGATAATTTCATCCATTACATTCTTCAACAACTATTTCTGATCTTAATAGCAAGCCCCACCAAAAAACTAAATAAGTTGGTAACCACCATCAAGAATGATAAGATTAAAAGTAACCACATGATCCAATAATAACGAAGCAGAAATTCAGTCTTCACACCTGCCAAACATTTGCCCATACTTCGCCATTCACATACTCCAGTTCATTGAGGTTGTGAACCTCATCTCCTTTGTACTTGACAGTGTGAGCTTCAATGACTGTGGTTTGAGAAAAAAAAAAACATACAAAAATGAGAGACCAATTGAATGAAGATGCCAGAAGAGAAATGAATATTCATAATGCAGTAAACAATGTATACTTGCACTCAAAAAACAGAAATGCACATGCAAGCACTCGGAAAAAAGAAGAATATACATATACGATTGCACTCACAGGGTTTGACATAGTCAATTAATTTCAAGTCACCTGGAAGCAACTGCAAGAGTAGAGAATTCAAGTTCTCCACCCTCAGAGAGAAAAAGTGGGGGGGGGGGGGGGGGGGGGGGGGGGGGGGGGGGCGTTGATGCTTTAATGGGCCTAAAGGCCAAATTGAGAAAGAACTAAATTCACTTCTAACTTTCATATAATGGAAACCTTTCAATGTTTGAGGATTAATCTGATACAAGGTTGAAGATCCATCACTTCCGAATATAACTTTCTTATCAGTTGCCAACCCCCAGCCATCTTGCATTTGGTGAGTGAACTTCCTAAACTGTAGATGATGCAGGAAAATATCAGAGATAAATTCCAGCAACCAATTACTACAGAATCTATGCATCTTCATAAATCAAAGGATGGACAAACTAATAAAATGGAATCCAAGATTATTAGAATATTGCTTTTGGATGACCTAGGGATTTGGAAGTAAAGGCTTCTCCAAGAAATAATATAGCATTAAGAAAAGTCTTGTCAAAATGAATCTTAAATACATCCAAGAATTAAAACACATAATCCCTGCTAAATCGGACTGATTCAATCAGCAAACTAGAATTATAAGATTAAAATACACTAAAGAAAAAATTCTTCCTCTTTAATCAAATTCTCACCATAGCGTATATCAAATATATAGAACTTATGGCAACCAACTACACTAAGGACCCGTTTGGCTTGGCTTTTGTGAGGCCAAAAGGAGCTTCTAAGATCCAAAAGCTGCTTTTGGATCCATTTGACTAATTTTATAAAAGTATTTTTTCTAGTCATAAGAGCTTTAGAGAAATCTGATTCAACGCGACTTCCTCTAAAAACACTTCCAAAATAGGAAGTTCTTTTAGAAATTAGTTTCCAAACAAAAAATAAGGTAGTTTTCGGACGTTCTTCTACAAGATGCAAAAGAAAAAGCAAAAGCCGTGCCAAATAGGCCCAACTCACCCTCTAAAATTATAGACTTCAATGCTGTCAATATTTGCTCCACTTGAAAACATGTAAGATAAAATATGACAAATAATTGAAAACTGATTTTTATACTATCATGAGTATGCTAATGTTCCCAGATACATACCAGACAATACATTTTACTAGTCTTGCAGCTGCAATTCAGAAACTTGCTGGGATCTATAGCGATAAAAGCTAACGTCCAAAAATCACCAAAGCAAAATTGGAAAGCACTCAGGGAATGCAAGTAAATTAAGATTAATAGTACTAAACTAGATTTTATACTTTCAATTTCATAAAAGTAAATATCAGCAAATTAAAATGGCACAAATATAGAAAGTTAAAAGTTCAAACAAGGAAAAGGGTGAAGCACAAACTTTGCTTAGGTTATTTCGGTCGTATACTAAAACAGTTTTCTCCAACCAAGTAACTTGAAACAACCTACAAAAGTACACAGGATTATAACATTAGAATTACAACTAGTTGATTTTGACATAAGAGAATCAACAGATTCAGAATTTTCAACTGATATAAATAAAATGATGCTTTGAAAAGTACATACATAACCACAGAACCCTATAAATACGTTTCATAATAAATGATCAATGAAACTGCTGAACCACAGATGCAGAACGTCACAATAACCTTTCCTTCTTTCCCTACTTATGTCTACAAATTCTAACAACTTTTAATCTATAAATGCTACCTCTACACAATAACGAGAAAATAAAATCTAAAATTGAAACCATTTTGCTCACAGACCTTTCACCGATAAGAGTTAAACCCTCTCCAAAGTAAGAATTCTGCATTTTGTGAATAGCCTCAACCTGCATGTGGAGAAGTGGAGAATTATGTATGTTTAGCCAGATCGGTGAGATGTTTCTTTTCTGAGGCTTACATTCAAACTACATTCAGTAAGAAATAAATATTTCATGCTGCAGTGCACACACCAAGTTTGATCTCGAAGAAATCCAAAGCAAAATTGAGATGCTGAAATCAAGAAATAGGTACCTTCCCTGTCCGAAGAGCGACTTTCCGAACGGATGACTGCAAATAGGGAGAAGAAAAACTTAAATGCATGACTTGTAGGCAAATACTAGCCGTTAATGTGTAAACAATAATACATGCAAAGTAAATGCATCCAGAAAATGAAACCAGAAAAAAAAGTCCAGGGCAGTGAAGTAGCACCATAGGATTTGGAATCTTTCTTGTATTTTAGGTTTCATCAAGACCATACAACTTGAAGCAATATTATGTGAAAAAGGAAATAAGTGGAAAGATGGGAACAGCATCGATGCCCCATATCTATATTTGTCAAGTCTTAAAGGCGGATAAGATGCTAACTCACACGTCCATTAAGACCTGTTGATTCGAAGAGTGTATCATTTTCTGCATACAATAGCCCCTGAAAGAAAATGGACACTGTCAATCTCTAAAGCAGAGCAACAACTTTCAGATTCAAAATTATTGGTTTAAAACTCGTTGGAGAAGCTCTCGATTAAAACTAAATATAGAAGACCACAGCATTAAACATGACTTCCATTTAATTCCACTTGAGCATGCAAGCAAATTGGAAGGTATATCCAGGTGTATGAAATAAAGCCCATTTGGTTTTGATAATTTATCCGCTTTAATCAGAAAGCTGATAATCAAAACTTTCAGTTGGATGTTTGCTACAGTAAAAAAACTAATTAATTCCAGGTTATTATCACGAACCTCAAAAGGACTAATTGCGTAATGTTTCTTTATCATTTTAGTAAGTTCGACTCTCCAAATTTTCTTCATGCAGTCCAAACCGAAAAAGAATTAGAAATAATCATATGCAAATGACCTGTACACATTAGTACATTACCTAGATTAACATTAATATAGAAAGAAGAAAAACAGACTAGAAAATGCAATTACATCAAAATATGCAAAGATTTATCAAAATAATGTCATAATTAACTTCAAAAAAAGAATCTTTTTTCGGATCACAAACTCATTCAAGCACAAAAATGATCAATCAAGCACAAATATAGCAAGATCCAAATTTCCGTAAAATGGACCTGAGTGAAGGCATTAGGATCGTGGGGGAACTCATTGACCACTTCTACATTGTAAATTTGATCCAAGAGAGCTTGATTTGGATTCGAGGAAGGTTTCGACCCAAACACGCTCCAGATGTTAGTCGAAATGCTTAGTACAACAAAAACGCACAAAATAGAAACAGCTGAAATGACCAAAGAGAACTTCCCCCGAGGAAACGACGGCGTAGAACGCGCCATCGAATTGTGACTGGGTTTAGTGAGGTATGATGATCGCTTCATAGATTTTTTCCTCAGCGATCCGCCGGCCATGGTGAAAGATGAGAGTTCATGCGTGGAGGGTGGTGGTGGGATTCCGGTGTGGGGGGCGAATGACTGCGGCGGCGGGCGTAGGTGGTGGTGGAATCACGCAGTTTGGCTTTGGGAAACGAGAATTTGGCTTGTTCAACTTTTTATCAATTGCCATTTACATTGTAGGAAATACCATTGTGCATTAAAAATAAATAAATAAATAAATAAAATAAAAATATTTTCGTACTAGTATTCTATTTAGAAATAGACATAGTCAAATTCGACTCAATTCTAATAAGAACTAAACTAACTCGAGTATCAATGAGTTTTGTGAGAATGAATCACTGAATCTACATCTAAATATGAAATTGAACTACAATTGAACCGTTTAGCTCTAATCAAATTCGATTCCTTGTGTTAATTTCGTAAATTCACTGAGCAAATGAAGTGTGTATCTATACAAATTATTAAATTATAGTTGTTTAATATCTAAATTTTTCATAGTCTATTTACTAAAATGATTTGTATTAGTGCCAATAATTTGCACTTTCAAGCTTAACATAAACGCAAAATTTACATAAAATGCTTAGCTAATGGCTCGAACGAGTTCTTTAAAAACATGTTTCAATGTTACATCTATTTTCTTTATACTTTGAGGGAGCGAAAATGCTAACTTGAAAAAAAAATGAAAGGAATTCAAACCATTTATTAGTCTTAAACTTGAAAAAAAAAATAAAAGGAATTCAAGCCATTTATTAGTCTAAAATTATACTATGAGATTTAATGAATAATTTTTGTCTAAATTCACACATAAAATCATATTAAATTGAATGTGAGTTTGAGGTACTGTGATGAAATTCATAAAAATAAGAAAAAATAAGAATTAAAATT